AAAACATGGTTGTACAATTGTTCTTGATAAAAACAATAATAAAAAAAACAATTGTATAGCTTGTTGTTTTTATCTTGCTGTCTCAGCATGTTTATGTGAGTATCTCCACATGTGTGTTGTGTGATCAGTTCGTCCAGAGATCTTTGTGTCTGGATGTCTTCCTGTGCTTAAATATTTGTACTGAACTTAAAACAGCCCCATTGTTCTCTTTTCAGATTGAATATATGAGGTTTTAATATGTTTATGACAGGATGAGTAGAGAGAGAGGAAAGTATTGTGAAGAGATCAGGATATGATGCTTGTGAGCCATGTTACTTATTAAGGGATAGTTCACCCAAAAATGATTTACTAGGGACAGGGGCGGAGTGGGACCAAAAAATCTACCGGGAAATTTCGTAGACCACGGATTAAGAGGCCCCTGGGCACAATGTCTTGTAGGTCCCCTCTTAGGCAGGCCAAATGTATATTTTGTCCAGGGACATTTTAATATGGCATTTACAGGTTTACTGATTTAAAAGTAACTTTGTTGTACTATGCTGGAGTAAAGTTCATAAATGGTCGTTCTTTCCCATAGGAATTTGTAAAACTATTTTGGGTGGACCTCTGGGGGTGTTCGGGGGCATGCTCCCCCACAAGAATTTTTTTGTACATTTTAAGGTTAAATGCATCAATCTGGTGCTCTTTGAGAGCTCAAAATTAGGAGCTTCATCCCATGAACTGCTCGTTGAACAAAGAAAAAGCATTGATTTGTACCTGGACAATAAAGAGGGCATCTTTTTAGTTATGAGAGTCTCAGTCTGCATTACATTATCAATGATGTTTTAGGATGCCAAACAATTATTATAATAATGTAATAATGATTTATATAATTATTCCTATGATGTAAAATCCATTTAGCCTATATATAAATAAAAAATGAATATTTCAAAAGTATATTTTAGCCTACATTACACTATAATTAGAACAATTAAAATATTTTTGTCCTAATTTCTTCACTTGCAAGAAATAAACCCTTGAGCTTTTATTTAGGAGAAAACACCGGATAACCATGCTGATCGCGTGGCAAAGTAATCACCCAGCACAGACAGGATGCCTATTCTTATAAAGTCTTGTGCTGTTTTATAAAGACACAAAGCCATATCATGGTTTCAATTTTAGTTCGTTGGCAAAATAGAACGCTAGAGACCTTAATGTTAGGTTATACATTTTACATCTTTACATATGTGTTGGGAAAAGGGAGAAGAGAGAGTTCGGCAAAAGCCGGATTCGAACTCGGGTCCAGCGCATCAAAAGCTGCTTTCAAGCACTTTACGCCCTACGACCTACGTACGCCACTGTAGCTATTTCGTAATGGGCGTCTTTTTGCTATAAAGACAGGCACTTAGTGCAAATATACGCTCAAATAGAAAATGTTTAAAAAAAATGTTTTCTTCCCCTCGCTTGGGCCCCAAGTGCGAATGGCGAACTTGCAATGAATACATTTTATCAGACCGGCCCTCGCGGCCTCGAAACACTACCGGCCCACCGGGAAATCTCCCGATTGCCACTCCGCTACTGACTAGGGATACACTGATATGAACATTTTGTCCGATACTGATAATCCTTTATATTTGAAAGCCGATAACTGATAAATTGGCCGAAAAATCCATTAATATATCCCAAGCACACAATTATGATGTTCTCATTATAACTTTATGTCGCCTATATGACAGACTTGCACTGCAAATGTTGTACTTTACTGTATTATCCTTTTTTGAAGTGATTCCAATCATATTTCAAGCAATTCAAAACCATCACGTTGAACAGTGCGCATCTGAAGCGTCTCAGCTGAAGGAAACAATCCATTATTTATCGGTTTTAATATATCAGCCAAGTTTTCTTATTGGGCCGATAAATATAACATTAAAAATGAACGTATATCGGCCGATACCGATGTGGTGGCATCTCTTATCCTCATGTTAGTTCCATATCTGTCCAGCTTTCCTTTTTCTGTGGATCACACTGAAGAACTCTTTGACTTGTTCCTGAGCCATATGTTGAGTGTGTCTTTCATGTGTCTCTTTCATTCACAGCTCTCCACAGATCCAGGCGCTGTTGACCAGTGCATCCTCAGGTCTAGAAGGCTTCAAAGCTCACGCTGTCTTCCAGGAGATCAATAAAAAGCTGCTTGAGGTACGGGAAAGCCTGCTTGGGTTCATTCATCTGAATTCGTTGGCTGTCGTGTCGAGGTAAATCCTCTTTACACCTCAGCGTCTCTGCCGGAGGATACATCAAGATGGATCTGAATTGGAGTTATTACCCAGCTTTAATCATGTCATCAGGGATCCGCTGTCAGGCCTGCTTTCCCCCGCTGGCTGTATTTGTCTAAGCTTTTTATTCAGACTACAAAGTTATTGGGTGCTGCTGGGTTCATTAAACCCAAATCCCTTGGTTTTATCTAGACGATCCTTTTCATGTCATTTCATGTGCAACACATACTTTGATGAATCTGCAGCATATGTGTCCATCCCCTCCACACACTACTGTTTCATGACCTGCTTTATACCTCAAATCCAGGCCTTTACCCGCTCAGCCTGGGTTTACTTTACAGGAATAGTTATTCTCCATGTATTGTTTCGAAATCAGACAAAAGGAGATTTTTGTAGAATGTCCAAGCCAAAGTTTTCTATATGTTGAAGGTGTATATATATATATATATATATACATACACTACTTAATTGAAATTAACCCCCATCCATACTGACCATCTTCATTGCCATATGAGATCTGAGGGCAACTTTCAGATTACCAAACCAAGAGGCTATACCATACAACAAAACAGACTCTATATAAGCATTATAAAACATCATTATGACCCTCTGAGCAACCCCAAAAAGTCTGAGCCTCCGTAAAAAGTAAAATTTCTGTTGCACCAATCGACACAGATCTACATGCACCTCCCATGAAAGTAATTTTTTACTTGGTGTATTTGTTTGGTTTCCAGTCCAAAAAAATAAAAATAAATTAAAGTGAGTTTTTGCTTCAAACCAGCAAAATTATCTGCCAATGGGTTAGTTCAAATGGAAACAAGATTGTTTTTCATGCCCCATTTGCAGATAATTTTGCTTGCTTTAAGCAAAAACTCACTTAATTTGGGCTTTTTTAGACATAATATCTTATGTAATTTTATTACTTTAATAAATGCATCATGATTTAAGAAGATTTAGATATTTATGGAAGCTTGTTTCCACCACTGAATAAATAAGATAAAATAAATAATTGCGACTTTTTATCTCACAATTGCGAGAAAAAATTGCTTCTTTGAAATTGAAATTGATTCTTTATCTCAGAATTCTGACTTTTTTTCTCACAATTGCGTGTTTACATCTCGCAATTCTGACTTTGTAACACATAATTGCGAGTTATCAGGCCAATTCTAAGGGGGAAATTTGTTTACTTTTTTCCCCTCAGAATAGTTTATATCTCACAATTCTGACTTTACAACACGCAATTTCAACTTTATATCACGCAATTCTGACTTTATATCTCACAATTCTGACTTTACAACACGCAATTGCGACTTTATATCAATCAATTCTGACTTTACAACACGCAATTTCGACTTTATATCACGCAATTCTGACTTTATATCTCACAATTCTGACTTTACAACACGCAATTGCGACTTTATATCAATCAATTCTGACTTTATATCTCACAATTCTGACTTTACAACACGCAATTGCGACTTTATATCAATCAATTCTGACTTTATATCTCGCAATTCTGACTTTACAACCTGCAATTGCGACTTTATATCAATAAATTCTGACTTTTATCTCGCAATTCTGAGAAATAAAGTCAGAATTGTGAGATGTAAACTCGCAATTGTGAGAAAAAAAAGTCAGAATTGTGAGATAAAAAGTCGCAATTACCTTTTTTATTTTTCATTCTGTGGCGGAAACAAGCTTCTATAGATATTTGCACTGGAAACAAGACAAAAATACTGAGTAAGAAAAGCATTTTTTTGCAGTGTGTAATCAATAAATAAACCTAGGTATTTAACTTGTCTAATGGGGTTATTGTTGATCCGTGACTCTCTCACCCTCTTGAGAGGCGAGACACTGATAATCTCTTACTATCAGCCACGTTTCAGCTTCTTCCAAAAAAACTAAAATTACTCAAATAACGGCCAAAAACAAAAATCACTCCAATAACGGCCTGTTACACAACAGAAGTAAAACCTCTGCATTTTCCACTCAGTTTTACTCCATTACTCTCTTCAATGCAGTGTGTAATTTTACGAGTACATTAATGTCTGGCTCTCCCAGGCTGGAAGGCTGAGTGAAGCGCTTTATGTGATGAGCGCCACATTTCGCTGTTGTTTTTCAGCTCTTCTTGTGTGTGTAAAAAGCAAGCAAGTGTAAAAAAAATAGGATGGAAATGTTGTTTATATGCAAAGCAAGTGTTTAGTAGCTTTTTATAATCTCTTTTCAAGTTTACAATCAAGTGTTTCAACCAATTTTATTTTTCTTGATCCTGCTGCCCCTTTTGATGATCTTTTTGTGTTAGGCTATATTATCAATATAATGGGTACCACTTTAGTTAAGGGCTGTGCAATATTGGAAAAAACTGACATTGCGATATACAGTATTGCAATATAAAAACTATTTCCCTAAATAACTTGAACAGAATTATGTTCTCTATTTAAAAAAGAATGAATTATTATAGGATGATGATTTTGTAGGGGAGTGAATCTGCATAGAAAATAATAAACAAATTACAAGCCTAGATAAATCCAATAGAACAAAGATGCAATTTAAATAAACAGTGCTTTGTTTTTCACGTAAGTCTAACAGTATTCAGGTACAGAAACTGAATAAGCAAATGTAAAATAACACTGCATAGTCTTCACTGAATAAATTAAATGTAATTAATCTTTGTTAAAGCTACAAAAGTGATTTTCTCTTTGTATTTTGTGGTGTGATTATCATTAATGACAGACAGCAGTGGGTATTTTATGCTGCTGTCACTTTAAGACCGAATGCACGGATCCAACTTAATGATACGCATCTGTTTTCTTTCTCAATTGTTTCCATTCACGTTAGCCATATGCTACTGTGTTTACGTCGAAATTCCTGTCTAGGTGAGTATTGACATGATTTTGCATGTACACTATATGTACATCAAGCACAAATACACGTGAATGGTTTCAAATCGCTTGAATATTTAAACTGACAGGACCTAAAATACGTGCAAATTATGAATTTTTGCTTAACTTTGCAATAAATCCGAGAAACGTGCGTTTTCGTACTGTGGTTCTTGGTCCATACGGATCAACTACGATCTCGATACTTGACATCGCACTACGATCATGTGACTATCCCAGATGCACACATCGCGATATCGATGCTAAAACAATATATTGTGCAGCCCTACATAAGTTAATGGATTAACTAACATAAACAAACAATGGGCAATATATTATTTTTACAGCATTATTATCTGTTGGCAATGTTAGTTAAATATGTTCATGTAACATGTTCATGTTAGTTCACAGTGCATTAGCTAATGTTAACAGATAGGTTAGTAAACAGAAGATCAATAAATGCTGTAGAAGTTTTGTTCTTATTTGGTACATGCTAAAGAATTAGTTAAACGAAACCTTACTGTACCTTATAACGTAAGTAGCTTAAAATAAAATTTACACATTAATTTCTGTTTGAGGGAAAAGTTATCTCTTCATCGTTTAAGTTTAGCTGCGGTTCACACAGTTTATGGTGGGTGTGCAACTGACGGCCTCTCTGGTGTGTGTGTGTGTGTGTGTGTGTGTGCAGGACGGAGAGCAGTTTGTGAAGAAGATTGGAGGTGTGTTTGCCTTCAAGGTGAAGGACGGGCCGGACGGAAAGGAAGCCATCTGGATCGTTGATGTTAAGAACGGGAAAGGCTCTGTTCACAATGATGCCGGTGAGTGTGTTTCTCTGTTATTAACTCTGGTGAGGATGCAGATGCGATGAACATCTGTGAACAGCGGACCTCTCCTAGTTCGCCAGAGTCTCGGGCTGGACGCACCTGGATCAGGTGGAGTTATTTACATGAAAATATCTGTGGGTTGAAGGAGAGGTTCGATATTTTCCCCAGTAGAAGTTTGACATTTCCATGCGTCTTTCTGAAAACCGTGAACAATTATCAGAACACACACACCAAAACCCACTTAAAATGAATAAATAAAACTTAAAGGTGCAGTGTGTAATGTTTAGCAGCATCTAGTGGTGAGGTTGTGAATTGCACCCAACAGAAGTTACGGTGGCCAACAGGAAGTGATGTCGTCTGAGACAGCAGAGAGTAGCCAGTTAAGCAATGAGGTTTCTTTACAAAGATAAATTATGAAATTATGGTTACTTAATTATTCAGTAAAACGATTTTATTGTGAATATTATTGTTACTTGTTCATCATTGTGTCAGTGTTTTATTCGCTAGCTTCTTTGCTAGCCGGTTGAAACCGGTTTACCGATTAGTTTAAAATATGCTACGCTATTAGAAATAACAGCCATTTCGAGCGGCAATTTCGCAACTCTGTCGCATCTCTCTGCCGCTCTTCCTCCCGCTCACACACACACACACTATAATAGTCTCTGAGCGCTGTTTGTCACATTTCCTACCAGCTAGCATAGATGACACGGTAGGTTGGCTTTGGCTACCTTTCTCACCCGAAGAGGCTTGCGGGTGTCGCGTTTTCTGGTGATACATCATAGACGATGTGCTACTACTGTATTTAAGCACTGTATCACACAAGTTGCAACTTACATCTGTGTCATTCTTTTAGGTGAAATGGTCCCACACACTACTTTTCTTTGCACGCTTCATCCTGTCGTCTGCCCTGGCTCTAACCTCGAGTGTTTTATAGCCTGTAGCCTTTACTTTCTGCAAACCTTGTGAGCACGCGAACCCAAACGCTGTGACCTCGTGGCAAATGTTTTTATTGGTTTATTAAGTACAAACAGGCGAGTTATGAAAAATTATGAAAAGTGTGAGGGATTTGTTCACTTCACACAAAAATATCTTGGAATGAGATGGCTAACTGTAGTAGCGTTTAGTCCACTGTCTATAATAGCCGAATTTAGAGATCACTTTTTTTTTTTTTAATGACTACCGACAACTTTGATCGGTTAAAGCAGCACTAAGTAGGAATTCCGTTTTTGTCAAACAGCGACCCCTAGAGTCGCTGTGGAGTACTTGTACTGTCGTGAATAGCACTCACGCAGAGATGGCTCGGACTCACGGCCGGATCCCCTCCCCCTGTACACCGGTACCTGTTCAGTAGGATGGACGCTTTAACGAGTGGAAATAATATATGGCCCCTTTAAGAGCTGCGCGCACCCTACCACATGTATACGGCGCCGGGTTATTTCTGTTTGATGCTCATTTTATCAGAATTTTATCAGATCTGTTTTTTTGCCGTAAAGCAATTCGTTACCTCGCGAGACCTGATATCACACGATACTTCCTAACACAAAGTTGCAAGGGTGGTTTTGCGGCTCACAGGCACCAGGGGGGTGCGAGACGACCACCATTCAACACGATAATATAAACATTACAATGACTCCAAAGCTGTTCGGTTAAGATAAAAAAGTTACTTAGTTCACCTTTAACGTTGATACGGTCAACCATCGGTCAAACGGTCATCGGTTAACATCCCTACACTGAAAACATAGTTATATGATACTGCATTTCTGGCAACAGATCCTCCTAAATATTACACAATGCACCTTTATATAATACACTTACGTCACAGTAGGCGGAGTCACGGTGGGTTACTTGGTGTTCAGTTCAAATGCTATAACAAGTTTTAGGGCTGAGGGATATAATGATATATAAGTGATCATCCAGATTTATATCTACCTATGTTGTATTTATAGTGTTGTCTAGCACTATAACCTGATTCCTGGCCATATGGACTGCTGGTTATTTAAGTATTAAGGATCACTGTCAAGTTCAACTGCCTTTAATTTAAGAGGATAATCTTCTTTTTTACTTGCAGTGTCTTATTAAATCCTGTCATGTTGCAGGATGTTTTGCCACTCAGTTCGTGTGAGAAAGTGACGTCAAAGCATACCCTATAATCACAGGTGTGTGTGTGTCCACGGCCATGAGATTAGTGTGAAGGAAGAGAGTAAATGAATGCAAGTGAGAGTGTGTGTTCGGTCTAATGACCAGGATTAAACCCGCTCACACATGCCGGATTCTGATTCGTTGTGTATCGAGAGCTAAAGACACCATAACAGCAAGTGCTGAGCTGCATTGTCAGACTGTTTTTCACCTCTCACCCCTATAAATGCCCCCAATATACTCATAGCGAAGCTCTTTTTTTTACTTCACTGGGGTAAAAATATGTTAGAAAACATCCCAATGCTGTCGGGAGCGAATATGTAAATATGTGCTGTGCGTTTTCCTCTCAATAACAAAATAAACGCACAACAGCAGTGAGAAAGCCTCAGTTAAGAAAGCATCTGATCATAGTGATGAAGTGCTCTGCAATTCGACACTCCGGTCAAATCACGTCAGGTTAATTCATATAGCATTTTATGCTGTAGATTATTTCAAATCAAGCAGCTTTGCAGTTTCGATCTTCAATAAAACGGTGTGAGTCGCTTTCATTCAGAATTACGGCTCTCCAGCGGGTTCATGTTTTTACTCGTGGACATCTGACCTCGACGGACTGAACCATAGACTGTAAAAAAAGATGGACGACGCCCCTTCGCACTCTTCCATTGGTCAGAAGTGAAGCCGCCAGTGTCCCGATATGGCGCTGACATCTTGAGACTTGAGTCTGCGCAGAAGCGATCTCGGGACCAGACATGCGCAGTCGTGAGCCGGAAGTAAAGCCGTGAAATCAACGCCCCGCCCCCACTCTCGCTGAATCAATCGCAAGCACACGCTCCTGCACTTTTTTAAAATTAATTATAGAAATTTAGATATTAAATTTAAAGCTCCAATCTCCTCAGTCCTCCGAAGATCCCGAAAAAAAGTCTGTTGGTGCTTCAGTGACAGAGAACCTGTCAATCACAGCTGTCAATCATGACGTCACCACCACCGCATCAAATAACTAACTAAAAGCAAACTTATTTTAAAAACAAACACTTGAAATTACATCAGCGTGATAAAAACTACAGTAAATGACAGAAACCATATTTGGGAAAACGATATTTGAAGTGTAATTTAATTGTTTAGTTGGTCTCACGTGCCGTTGAATAACACGGGGAGGCGGGGTTTATGAGCTATACTAGGACCGGCCACCGGGGGCGATCGAGATGTTTTGGCTTCACTTTTCAGGGCTTGTGTGGCACGCTTGGACTGAACAGAAGAAATGAAACAGAGCAGGTTTTCACGTCAAAGAAGGCGGAGCCTCAGAGCCACACCCACTTATTACATAATCGTGTTTTCCAGCCGGAGCCATCTTTCCCTGAAAGCAGCTTCAAACCCCAAAAATGAACTTATTTTTGGCCTGATTTTGAAATAACGTCACTCCAGTTTGTTCTTTGATCTCATTTCAAGTATATTGTGATCTTCAATGTTCTCCTTTTGTGTTTCTCAGAAAAGAAAGCAGACTGCACTATTGCCATGGCCGACTCTGACCTGCTGGACCTCATGACTGGAAAGATGAATCCACAGACCGTAAGTAGAGATGAAGCAGAGCCAAATCACTAACACAACCCTCTGTCTGTCTGTTTCAGATCAAATCAACCGTCTATCCTACTTTTCACTTACAAGCTAGACTGTAAAAAAGATTCTTAACCTGTATCCCCCCCCCCCCATTTAAAATACATTGACATCTACAAAACACGCTAAATTTATTTGAGGAATTGGCTCTTATTTTAAGCAAAAATCTTTTGAGTATCAGTTTAACTTTTTATTGATGCTTTTCAATCAGAGAGTTACTAAAAGACGGACAATACAGTGTTTGTTTCAACATATTAAACTAGAAATCCAGCTGAAATTAAACAAAAGCATTCCTTAATCTTTTGAGTTTTAAACAAGAAAACTTTCTGAAAACTATTCTTGTGCAGTTTTGCTAATCTAGTAAATTTGTCTTGTTTTAATTAAGAGTGTTTAGATATTTTTACTGAAAGCAATACGCGATTCACAGTTTTTCATTCATTTGAAGGTTTTTTTTTTTCTCTTTGAACATTTTTACACTACCATTCAAAAGTTAGGGGTCAAAGTTTGGTTTGTTAAAACTTAATACCTCTATTCTGTAAGGATAAGGATGCATTAAATTGATCAAAGGCAACGGTAAAGACATTTATAATGTGACAAAAGCTTTTCTTCTGAAGAAAAATGTAGCGCAATTTCAACTAAAATATGAAGCAGCACAACTGTTTTCAACACTGATAATAATCAGAAATATTTCTTGAGTGATTTCTGAAGGATCATGTGACTCTGAAGACTGGAGTAATGATGCTGAAAGTTCAGTTTTGATCACAGGAATAAATGACAGTTTAACATGTTACAGTTATTTTAAATTGAAAAAATATTTCACAATATTACTGTATTTTTTATCAAATAAATGCAGCCTTGGTGAGCAGAAGAGACTTATTTTAAAAACATTACAAAATCTGACTGACCCCACATTACTGAATGGTACTAGTGTATGTCAAATAATACAAGTTAAATAGTTTGCGAATGTCATTATATCCTAACTTATTAGCATATGTTGCATAAAATATCCTGGAAAATAGTGTTTTGGAAAGAGTGGGAAGCCTAGAATGGCTGTAAAAGCAGATCTCTGGCATTTCCAAGTGGTTTGCATGGTTATAATTATGATTTTGGCTGATCTCAGTTTGGATTTACCACAGAGACTCATCCCACATACCCGATGTTGTTCTTTCTTTGACACTGTCTTGCGTAGGTTTGCATAAGAGCTGCACCTGCATGTGCCGGTGAATTCAAATCAGTATTGCAATTCACAATAAATGTGAAGATATTTTTGTTTTCCAAGGCCTTTCTTTTCAGGGACATAACTTTTGAGCATTTAAAAGCACAGTTTGTGTAGCCTCCCACCCTCCTTTTGTGCATTGTCTCAAACCCGCCAACTGTTTTCCATGAACAATTTCTCCACAGACGCTCAAAAACACTCGCTCTCCTTTTCTAATGCTAGAGGCCTATGTTGAGAGAGATATTGTGCGGCCTCCCGTCTGAATCAGAATGAGTTTCTTTCCATGCCTCCAAGTTTCCACGCTTCCTCTAATCAAAGCTCTTCGCCCCTTCGTGGAAAAGCCACAGATGGAGCGAAAGACATTTTTGACCCATTACAAATCAACAAGCTCAAGTGAGACCATTTAACCTTGCCGGTGCTCAACTGGTTCAGTATCCAAGTTCACTATTTATTTTTTATTTTTTATTTTTTTTTTAAGCAGGAGATATTTTAAATGCTCAATGTTTGGATCTTTTTTTTTTTTTTAGATATTTGTGATTTTTAAATATTGTAGTATTGACTGCATTCATGATTATCAACCTGCTTCCTAGGTTATTGTAAGAACAGAAAAAAAACTCAAATTTTTGGGAAATATAGGTCAACAACTATACACAATGAAAACAAAACTATGAAAAGTGCCATTATTCTCACATTCAAGTCTCAGCCTTTTTTCTTCTTCAGTTTTTCATTTAAATTTGAAAGTTTCCCGCAGAATTCCATTGATAGAATGTTCAGCATTCAAACTCTAACAGACAGTGATGACATTATTGTAACGTTTGTATGATTTATTTTGAAGGCTGAATAGTAACTGGTCTTCTTTCTTGCATTTGTCTGCACATTTTTTTAAATGCCATTGAAGAACAAAATCAGTGCTTTCATTGTAAAAGAAAATAACGTTCTGCTTTAAAAGCTTACTGACATTTTTCTGAGATGCTTTTACAAGAAGCAATTTGAATGTCAACAGATACAAATGTTAATTTCAAAATCACCGTTTTTCAATAAACAACCTCCCATTTAGTATCTCTAAAAAAGAAAAAGAAAAAGCCCTGGATGTTGTTTTTAAGAGACAAAACTTTTGTATGTAAAGTCACAGAAAAATACTTTACAAAGAAAAAGAAAGGTCCTCTACACAGGACCACAGATGTATTGCTGTGTCTCAGGAGGTTAAGATCTTTAAATTCAATGTTAATCACGGTTTCATGTCCTCTCGTTCATGCAGGCGTTCTTTCAGGGCAAACTGAAGATCACTGGAAACATGGGAATGGCCATGAAGCTTCAAACCCTGCAGTTGCAGCCAGGCAAAGCCAAACTGTAAGAGGCGGAGCCAAGCGTGGAGAGGGCGGGGCCTTGAGTAGCCCCTCCCACAGAGTCACTCTATTAGAGTAGCAGCACAGGAGTCAGAGACGGGATGTGTTTCTGCGCTGTAGTGGTCAGCCTCTTTCTAACCAGGGAAAGCCATAGTTCACCCAGAAATGAAATGGGCATCGTTTACTCGCCGTCGCTTTCCAGAAGTTTCCCATAAAAGTAGTTCATATTACTCGTGCACAGTATTTTTTTTTCTTCTTGTTTTCCAGTACAAATATCTAAACATTTTTAAATCAGGATACATTTACATGAAAAGCATTATTACTTAAATGTGTCAGAAAACAAGACTTTAAAATAATGGGGTCAGAAAAATTAACTGAATTTAAAGGACAAACAAGATAATTCTGATTTTTTTTTTTCTTGTTTTAAGCTTAAAGTCACTTAGTTTTTATACGTTTTTCAGAAAATAAAACATTGTTAGCTATTTGTACCGAATTGTTAGCTATATGTACTGGGAAACGAGACTAAAAAAGCTCTTTTTTTTGCAGTGTAGTCTTCTGGAGACAAACCAAAGATCTTATGAACTTTATACAGTCATATGGGTTTGGAACAACATGAAAGTGAGTTAATGATGCCAGAAATCTTATTTTTGGGTGAATTATTTAATGATGAATCGGTGATAGATACTGATAAGTACTATGGAATTAATACTGTTCTTAAAAGATCGATTTGATAACTTTGATATGGTTTTCCTTTGATTGGCACCCATAACTGTTTCAATTATATATATGTGTGTGGATCGATTTCCCCAATGCCTATCTGTGGTGTTAAAAATGGTGTGTTTAAGGATTTTAATGGAAGTGAGGCCTGGTAAAGTGTGTGTGCTTGTGTGTACTATCAACACACACTGCATGGTGTTGAGCTTTGATGGATGGATGTCCTGTTAAAATGTACGACAACATTGAAATTCATTCTCTTTCATCCTTATAGTTATCTTAGGTTTGTTCTATTTCACTGCTTTGATAAAACAGACCAATTGTAAACATGTCCATAAAATCAGTGCATGGGTATATTTTATTGTATCCTTCAGTTATTATTGGAGCATCATTTCATGTGTCTCTCTCATGCACGTCACTGAATCCTGCACATCAGATGCTAAAATACTTTTGTACTAAATAAACTTAATCTTTCTCATGAAAATGGGTAGTGTCTGTTTTCACTTTCTCTGTAGATGGATGATGTTAAGAGGAGAAAAGCCTTCAGTCTGTGACATACGGTCGGCCTTCAAATATACGTCATCACTGCAGCTGTCTATATTAATTGTAGATCCTCAATAACCAGGTTATTCCAAGAGGATTTAGTCTGTAATAAGTGTAATTTGAGTCACTTTGCACACAGGTGTAACAAGGTTGATAAGGGAAGGCGGCAACCGGCCAATGTTAAATGTAACTGTAATAATAAAATAAACATAAACAACAAAACGAAAGTATAAAGTGGCAGCCCCTCATGGACGACTGCCACACATAAACATAAAACAGTCCAGTCCTGGTCCTCTCTCATCCTTCACTGTCATCACTCCTTCTTTTTTCCTTCAGGAGTTCCTCCGTGGGACTCGGGACCGGTGTGGATCATTAACACTCGCTCCGTTCCCACAGCTCTCGGCCCCGCCCTGCTTGCTACAACAGGTCTGCTGAAGCGGTTCCTTCCCTCGGCTCATTTTGACCCGGAAATTCTTTTTGAATTTTTTTTTTTAAAAAGTGAGTGTTCATCGGAGGGGTCAAAGACCCCATGACTTTTGTTGCACTTGAACCACGAATATACAAAAAACATTAAGTGGATTTGAGGAGTTTTGTAGTTGAAATTTAAACAAATCCTTCCCTCACGGGTCAATTTGACCCCTATATGAATGAATGGAATGCGAGGAATGCTTCAGTGCACATAGAAAAACCTTAAAAATGCTCAAAATTCAATTACAAATTCAATAATACAACTTTTCCAAAACTTTATTTTATAATGTCTACATGTTTATCTGAATGCATACTGAAGAGAAATGACTTTAGGACCCAGCGGAACAGCTCATTTGCTCCAAATAGAGCTATAAGGCCATCTAGTGGCTAGAGTCATCAAATATGATGGGTTTTTTATTTTACTTTATGTTTTACAAGAGGTCGGCAAAGAGACCCAATGTAAGATATTTTGAGCTGAATTAAAAGGTTTAGGCATTAAATTGTGAGTTATTTTGAATTGAAGTTGAAAGAATTCGAGGAATATTATTTATTGGTTAAATCTAGTAATTTAAAGGTAAATAAAATAAAAAATTACAAAAAAAATCTCCCAAAACAATTGCATGAAAAAAAATCAAAATGAAATAAAATAAGCTTTCTGAAAAAAAAATGAAAAAAGTCCAACATAAACCCCCGCCGTTTCTTTTTGTTATGTGCTCTGATCATGTTGAAGCTTGTTTGCCTGTATATCATTCTCTTGCTCTTCATCTCTTCTTGTGAGATGATCCAGAGTACGTGTGTGTTCTAGCTCTCAGAAGTTTCCACTGGCCGGTGTCCAGTCTGCCACGCTTTTGTTTTTCCTTTGAAAACTTCAGCTGAAACACTCTGAAACTGTTAACGAGCTCTGACCTACATTCCACAGCTGAGACCTTCTCTCTTTCCTTCGTTACGAACCTTTATTTCTTCCAGATCGCATGCATTACTATAGTATACTGTAGTAGTAGTATTATTAGGGAAGTTTGCATTGTAGCTGAAAGGACCCTTTTCACATTTCCAGGGTCCCAGAAGTGGAGGTCCTCATAGTTGGGTAAACTTCTACAGCAGTGAATGGGAACGGCATGCTAATAAACAGCAAAAGCAAAAGAAAAGGAATCCCTGATAGAGTCTCCACAACTTTCCAAAAGCGGGAACATCTAGAGAAATTGATTACGTTGGTCAGAAGAGACGGAGAGATGTCAAACTTGCTGTCACTCCCTCAGCTGTTGAATTAGCTGCGTTAATTCGTGTTTTTGTAATATATAGCATTATAAATGTGTATAAAATGTTTAAAAAATGAAAACTTTACTAGATTTGCAATGTTGATAAATGTGGAAACGCGTCGTCAGTGTGTGAAAGGGTCCATCGTGTGTTTAGTGTTCCAAGTCAATTTGCATTTTGCAGAAATTCAATCATGTTTCCTGAATATTTGATCAGGCAAACAAAGCTGATGTTGTCAATCATAAACATATGCATCTATCACCTAATGTTAGAGATTGATTGTATTTTTGTGATCTAATTCCTGATGATTTAGGAACATTCTTTTTTATTATTTTGTTGGATTATTATTGTTTTTACTATTATTATTATTATTATTATTATTATTATAGCCATAAATTATTATTCCCAGAATGTTCCAAGAACCAAAGATTGTCTGGGACAGATACTGGTAAGCTAATGAAATATTTTACTCTGCAAATTTTCATTATTATTTGCAGAGTAATTAATAAATGTAGCTATTTATTCATTTATTTATTAGTAAGAATATAGTATACATTTTATTGTTAATGTATTATTGTTAGTAGTAATAATTATGTAATTAATTATTAGTGGCAATAATTTAATAATTCTTTTTTTAAATGTTATTATTTTAACATTATTAACATTATTATTTTGTTATTAATAATACTTTTATTTAGGCCTATTATTATTATTAATAATGATTTGATAATACATGCCATTGTAAATGCTGAATATTAACATTTATGTCATTTATTATATTATAATTGTCTGCTGTTTAAATGCACTAAGACCCTGAAGTCTTTTCTTTCTCTTTATTTTTACTGCGTTTAAGCAGGTTTTAGTGGGGGAAATCACTGTAGCACAACCTCATTGTCTCATTACTTTAAAATGAAACTGATAGACTCTAAAATCTGATGAGATGAGCTGCTAAAAATAGGCAATATACGCACACCTGTTATTGCACATATGAAACTCTATATCAAGCTGCCAGGTTGCATATTAACAAATTACTGTATAAAGAAGAAGAATTGATTATAGGGATTTTTATTATTTTTGAAAGTATTCCAGTTGCGTTTTATCAAGTCGAGTCACCATTTCTACAATACAGATTGTTTCAAGCCGCTTTACAGGGATAAACAGGAAAAGAATGATTCAATTATGTGAACAGAGTTCAATTCTACTGTAAAGCAGCTCTGAAAAGACAATAGTGTCATTGTTCATCTTGAGTCAGTTCAGTGTTGATTCAGTTCCGTTCAATTACTGTGTAAAGATCATCAAATATGAAATGAGTTATTCATCTTTAAATCAGCTCTGTATAAACCGTGATTTTTTTTATAAAAGCAAAACATGACTTGAGGCTCCACTTTACACTGACTTTGAACCCTTTAAGTGTCACCCCCCTTTTTTTGAACATACATGAAAATGCACATTTCAAATTAAATGGTTGTAATTCAAAAATGCTTTGGAATATAGACGTAAGATTGGTCTCGTTTTAAAGAAGACATTTGGCAGATTTTTGTAGAAGTGAAATAAATTAAGAAAGTGAAACAGAAAAAAGTTATAAAAGTTTGAGTTTATGAAAATGTACAATGTAAAAAATTTTATTATTCATATTTTATAGAAAATATATATTTTCAAAACCTGGGCAACTCTAAAACTGCACAACAAAAATCAAAGTCAAAAATCTGAACAAGTTGTGATTCAAATTTTAGGTTGATATCTCAAAAATGAGCTTTCAGTAAGATTTTGTTTGGGCGCAGTACCAAACTTTTTCACTAGATGACAACCAGACTCCATTACTGCCCATATAAGGGCGCCTCCATTTCCAAATGTGTTTTGAGTGATATGAACCATTATTTCCCCAATTTTCATACAATTTATGAAGTAGACATCCTATTCAGAAGTAATATGAGACGTTTGGCAGATTTTGATATGAATTCGACCTCACAAAAAGAACAAGTATGTGCGTTATTCCTGCCACCTCACAAATGGTGAATCTATAATTTTTTCTTTATATTTAAAAAAAATTCAGATCTTTTTTTCTAAAATAATTGAATGGATGCTATCTTTTGAACTCTTGGCATGAAAACAAACTGAGGTTTCTACCCTTCTTTCATGATTTTTCATGTTCATCACTATTTCAAAATAAAGGTCTAAACACGCCTCAGGAGTATGAAAATATTCTTGTTGCAAATTGATAAATTATGGCTCCTCTGTAATTCATTTTGAAAATCAATCA